GGCCTAGAGAGGCTCTGTAGACTTCTTCTTTCCCTCTATACCTCTTCCTAGCTCAAGACACAGATGTGGCATCTCCTCAAGGGCCATGACCATCTGCAGGATGAGTTCTCCGTCTTCTTTGACCATCTGCGCCCAGCAGCTAGCCGCATGGGTGACTTTGAAGAGATCAATTGGACTGAGGAGAAAGAGTATGAGGTACAGGCTGTGGGACTGCAGTAGGGTGGTTAGGGGAGGAGGCCTTGTATAGGAGGGACAACCTGCCCAGAGCCTGATTGGCACCATCTTCTCCCCAGTTCGATGGCTTTGAAGAAGTGGCACTGCCTGATGTGGAAGAAGAAGAGGAACCTCCTAAGATACCCACAGCCTCAAAGAACAAAAGAAGAAAGGAGATTGGGGTCCAAAACCATGATAAGGTACGCCAGGTTGTTGGAGATTGTTCACTTTTCATGAATCAAGCCTGAAGTTTCTGCCTAAATGTTTCTCTGGCTTTCTGTGTTACAAAGCCGCCAGGATCTGAGGCTGCTTTGTGAACATGGAGAGTCTGTGGGAAGAACAGTGCAGCTGCTGAAGAGGCCCTACTCCCAAGTGCCTCTTTGGAAGGATTTGTTTCCTGTTTTTTTTTTTTAGCTCAGAGCTATTTCTTTTGCCTTTGGGTCTGAACATTGTCTGTTCATGTGAAGAAATAGAACCAAGATTCCCCATTTTAATAATAATGATAATGGCTAGTATTTAGGTGTGTTACAAAATATCAAGTATCTCTTCAAAGTATTTTACATGGATTATTCACTCATTTAATCCTCACAATAATCCTATGAAGAGATTGCTCTTATTTGCGTTTTACAGAAGGGAAAACTGAAGTTCACAGAGAGGCCATTGCCAGGGTCTTATATTTAATAAGTGGCAGCACTAGGCTATGAACACAGGTAATCTGTCTCCAGAGTCTTCACTTACTCTTTGCTCTGTACTGCTCTTCAGGAAGTAGCATTTTAAATCCGTGGCCCTGTACTCCATGCCTTTTACTGTTTCTTAGGGAAACACTGCTTAGTAGCTAAATGACCTTGGGCAATTTATTTAATCTCTGTTTCTTCATCATCAATGGGGATAATAACGGTACTTATGTCTTGGATTTATTAAAGAGAGAGTATAATTGAATGAGCCTTCCATGTGTACAAAGCCCTTTCTCAAGGAGATAGGAAGAGAGGAGAGAGAGTTCAGGGCACAGGGAGACAGAAACAGAGGCAGATGAGTGAGTAGATCATATCTCATGATGGAGCTCTCTAGTGACTTCGCCTCAGATTATATTTGATTTAAATATTTCTTGAAACATCTGGGCAACTAGGAAATACCACTTTTGGGGGTCGTTTAAGGATTGTTTAAGATATCCATAATAGACTTTAATCCAGTTTGAGCATTGATTTCCTCAGGCAGAGTGAAGAGATGGTGTTTAATAAAAGAGAAAAGCCCCAGGCCAGGTGGCTGGGTTGGAGAATCATCCCGTACACCAAAAGGTTGCGGGTTCGATTCTTGGTTGGGGCACATACCTAGGTTGCAGGTTCTGTCCCCGGCTGTTCTGTTGCACCTACAGAATGCAACTGTTCTCTCTCTCTCTCCCCCCCCCCTTCCACTTTACCCCTCTTTCCCCCTCCCCCTTCCTCCCTTTCCTCTCTCTTCCTCCCTTCTTTCCTTACCTCCCTTCTCTCTAAAAAAAAAGAGAGAGAAGAGAGAGAAAGGATGGCATGGGAGGGGGGTGGTCAAGGGGTAGTCTGAGCTTTCTCTCTTAGTACCAAAATGCTTGGCAGCTAACCAAGCCTGGGTATCTTCTAGGAGGCTGAGTGGCCAGATGGTGCCAAGGACTGTGCCTGTTCATGCCATGAAGGAGGCCCTGATTCCAAACTGAAGAAGAGCAAAAGGAGAAATTGTAGCCACTGCAGCAGCAAGGTCAGAGGGGGAAACTGGTACCAAAGGTTGTCAGAACTGCATATCTAGGTCAATCTCCAGGTTGCCTTACTATGGGGGTATTGTTTACTACCACGGATGTATACCTTGCACACACATGTAGAATACAAATAGAATCTTTTAAAAATAGCCCTGGTTGGTATAGCTCAGTTGGTAGGAGTGTCATCCTGTAACCAAAGGGCTGCACATTCGATTCCTGGTCAGGGCACATACCAAGATCAGGGGTCTGATTTCTGGTCCAGACATGTAAGGGAGGCAACTCTCAATGCTCTTCTTTCGCATTGATGTTTCTCTCTTTCTCTTCCTCTGTCCCTTCCTCTCTCGCTAAAAGCAGTGAAAAAAAGATGTCCTCAGGTGAGGATAAAATAAAAACGTATCATGGATTTTACTTTTTAAAGAGAATCCTGTTGGTAAAGCTTTCAGAGTAGGGAAAAAAATCAAACAGTTCAAATATTTTCTTCTTAGACTTTTTGGTTTTTAATAAAATAAACCTCTGTCCAGAAAACAGACACTAAAGATGATACTGGTTTTCTAGAGTAGGGTTAGTTGGCCGGCATCAAAAGTACAGTCCTTAGGTAAAGGAATCATTGAATCCAGTACTCTGTTCTGGGCATTTAAAATCCTTGGAGTGAGCATGCTTCTTGATTGCCTTGCTGAGCATTACGGCAGGGCTTCTTCCTTTTGTGAGCCCCTAAGACAGAGATCTGGAGACCCTTGTTCCACAATGGCTTCTCTGCAGGTCTGTGACAGCAAATCCTACAAGAGCAAGGAGCTGAATGAGTTTGTGGGCGGCAGCCCCTACCGAGAGGCCAGTCCTATGCCCAGTGCTAAGGAAGCTGGACAGGGCAAGGACGGGATGGAGGAGGAAGCCCCAGAGGAACGAGAAACCATTGAGTCAACCCAGGGCAGAACAGGCAGGAGTAGTCGAAAAGGAGAGATGCCTATACCAGGTGAGTGATTAGGCTGCCAGCCCAGCCTTTCTCCATTTATTTGTGTCATATTCTCACATGCTTTGAACCCATGTAAGTAACGGGCTTTCAAGGATGGACTACCATCTTTCTTACTAACAAACCAATAGGAAAGCCTTGTCCTGTCTAGCCTTATTTCTTCTGTGGCCTCAGTTCTCTCGTTTATATATAAGTGACTTGAGCCCCAACCCCCACCTCATTCTTTTGGATTAGAATTTTGTCACAGTGGCTCACCAGAGTGACCCAGTGGTAATTTGTAGTCCCTTAGGTGCATCTCAGTCCTGTCCATACCCTTAGATCTTTGTTTTCCTTCTATGCAGGATTGGCAGTGGGGAACACTTTGCTGTCCCCTCAGTATCCGACTCTCACAGAACCACAGCTTCCCCTAGATGGCCGACTGCTGTGCTCACCAGAGACTCCTCAGCTTCCCTCCAAAACTGGAGCTGTTCTAGACACGACTGGAATAAACCAGGCTGGTCCTGAGGTTCTCTCCTGCCCTGAGGCTTCCCTCAGGCATGAGAATGAAGGGAAGGGCCATAAGGCAGTGAGTGACTCTGAGGCTTCCATGCAGGTCTCCGATGCTTCAGCAGCTCAGAAATGGCCTGGAACTGTTGAACCATCTGCTCCCTTTCTGAGTCCTCTTTCCTCAAGGACCAGAGACTTAGGGAGAAGACAGGTGTCTGGGAAATCAGATGCTCAAGAGAGCTGGCAGCCTTCAAGCAAAGCTGGGGTGAAGACATCAGACAAGAAGCCCCTTGTCCATGAATTTTCATCAGGAATTGACACCTCAGAGACTTCTCCCAAAGTCCCTAAAGGAGTTGTGGCTAAAGACAGTGGAATACAGGGCAAGGGTCCAGAAGGGGAGCAGCAGCCAAAGGCCACAGAGGTCACAGTGTGTGCCAACAACAGCAAGGTCAGCTCCACTGGGGAAAAGGTGGTCCTTTGGACAAGGTAGGTAGGTATGGGGGTGTGCGTTTGGAAAGCACATGGACCATATCCTTGCTGCTAATTTAGGACTAATCAAGACCTATTGGTCACAGGGAAGCTGACCGCGTGATTCTCACCATGTGCCAGGAGAAAGGAGCACAGCCCCAGACTTTTCGCATCATCTCCCAGCAGCTAGGAAATAAGACGTCTACTGAGGTAAGTGGAAGGAGCCCTGCTAAGGCTTCAAAGCCCAGAGGGACCCAGGAGAGGGCCTGGCAAGATGATGGGTTGGCCAACTAAGGGAAGACATCAGTTGCTCATTGTAAAGGCCTGCCTTGAGGAAGGGCTTGACATGGCAGGGTGTTTGGTAGTGGTTCTAGAAGAGAAAGGGCATTGGATTTTGAGGGGGAGAGCCCCTTAACCCAAGATTCCTTACCTATGAGGAGGACATATAGCCCTCACTACCTTACTGTGTGGAACAAATGAGATTATTCAACTTGGTCTATAGTGCTTATCGTTGAAACGTTGCTAACTTAGTACAGGAACACAGTCCTTCACCTCTCCTCCTAGGTTTCCCACCGCTTTCGAGAACTCATGCAGCTCTTCCACACCGCCTGTGAGGCCAGCTCTGAGGATGACGACGACGCAACCAGCACCAGCAATGCAGACCAGCTATCTGACCATGGGGACCTTTTGTCTGAGGAGGAGCTGGATGAGTGAGACGTAGGGAGGAGTGTGGGTGTCATGTGCATAGGACCAGACTCCAAAGGCATCCTGAGGAGGAAGGGGTGCTTGTGCCTTGCTGGTATACCCCTTGAGCTCAGTTTGCAGAGCTGGGGGAGCAGGGGCTAAGGACAGGGACAAAGGCAGGCTGAGGGTTTTCATTGCATTGCCAACCTCTGCCTTACTCAAGGTCTGTTAGGAAGTCTTTAGAAATTACTTTGTAAATAGCACTAAGGGAGAGTGGGGCTCTGTTCTTTTTCTACCCTTTTTAAATTTTTTGTCCTGGTGGTACACATTTATTGTGAGCTAAGGTACAGTATTTCTAAATGTAATAAGTGCATATGTTGGTGTAGTCAGTCCCAAAACACGGAGCTCCTGCATCTAGCACTTTTTATTGTAAACTAGTTCCTTCCTTTTCTTGGAACTTTAGTCTATGAGGCTATCGCCACCCTCGTAGCACTGGGCCAGACTGCGTAACTCCTGCAGCAGCTCCTCTAGGTCGCCCTGTTCCACGCCAGCATCCATGAAGCTGGCCCAGCGCCGCAAGTCAAGTTTGGTGAGCTCCTCAGCCAAGTCTCCCAGGGTCCGGTTCAAGGATGAAGAGGAGCAGAGGGCGCCAAGCACTGGGACGCTCTCCACTGCTGCAGAGGGACAGAAAAGGGAAACCTGTCATCGGGCTGCTCCTCCCTGAGGCTCTGTCATATAGATAGGAAAGTCTGGGTCTTTAGTTGACTGGATTGTAAAGTAAACCGAATTAAGTTTTGTGCACTCTCCCCTTAGTATACCAGTACTCCAGAACACTTCTCTTGAGGAACCTTGGAGTGAATAAAGGAATGTTTGTGACCTTTTTGAGTACCTTTATCCCAGAAGCGTCAGAGTAAAACCTCTCCCATGTTTGGTTTTCTTCACCTCCTACATACCTGCTCCAATTGGGGGATCATCCTGAATCAAGCCCTGCTGGCTGAGGCTTGAGGAGAAGAGGCAGGGATAAGGAGGAAGCACCTTGCAGGGAGTCAGCAGCAGATGGGAAGAACTGGGGATGAGAGAATAGCAGTTAAATGAGAAAGGGGCAAGGGAGGTCTGAACTCTGGGAGGAGCATAGGAGCAAGCCTTTTACTGACCTCCTGACTCTAGGCTGCTGCTGTTGGAAATACTGGGCCAAGACTTCTTCCCCAGTAGTGCACGCATGGAGCGGGGAGGGCAGCGGTGTCCCTGGGGTGAGCTGACTGCCAGAACAAAGCCAAAATCACCTTTAATCTGGGGCAGCATGAATAAGAAACTAAGAATTCCTATGTTCTCAAGCCATCAGCTGAATCGGGATGCTCGGCCGTCTTCTTCCCCCACCGCCCCCCCCCCCCCACACACACACAGAGGAGGAAAGAGAGAGGGAGAGGAAGAAAAGAAACATCAACTTGCTGTTCCATGTATTTATGCATTTACTGCCTGATTCTTGTGTGTGCCCTGACCAGGGATTGAACCCACCAACTTGTACTGGTACGATGCTCCGACCAACTGAGCTACCCAGCCAGGGCCTTTTTCTTTTAAAGGGGGACAGAGGGACGAGAGGGGCAGTGCCATGAGAGTCTCCAGGGGTACTGAGGAGAAGAAGACATGAAACAAAGGTCTGGTAAGAGCTCTAAGGGCCACCAGTCCTCACCTGGTGTGGTATGGTCTGTCCAGACCCCGCAGCACCACTGACTGGGCAAAGCAGCGCGTTCCACACAGGTCCCCACATGCAGACAGTGGGGTCCAGGGGGTGGTCCCTCCAAGCTGCACCAGGGCATCAGGAAGGGACTGGCTTGGCACCAAAGGGAAAGGGATGGCTGCTCCTGCTGTCACAACCTTCAAGGTAAGAACAAGATCAAGTTATAGAACATTTCCTCAGTTCTGACCCACCCAGCTCCTCACAAAGCTTCATACCTTTTTCCCAGAGAAGGTCAGCATATCAGCCAGGTGAAGCATGGAAATTGGTGAGGAATGTAAGCGATAAGGGACAGTTACTGTGTCCAGGGCTGTAGCCAGGATCGCACTGCAGTGGAAGGGCAGAGTGGCCTGTAAAAAGGATGTGGAGAAGAGCACTTCGTCCTTCAGCTCTGGGAAGGAGACCCGGGGGCTGCGTGGCAAAACTGGGTGTGTCTGGCCCAAGGCTGGTCAAGCACAGGACAGTGCGATCTAACTAAGAGGCCACACCATAGCTGAGTTCAAGCTGAGGCTTCAAGAGTAGAGCCAGTAACAGGCCGACTTCGTGAATGTGATGGTGCCCTGTCACTACAGTCAGAACAAGAGCATTGAGCCTTACGTCGTAACGCAGGTGAGGGAAGTTGACAGGCGGCTCAGGTCGCAGCCCCAGGCTCCCACCCAAGGATAAGGGGCAGACCAGAGAGCTTTGAGCAGACAGGTGCACCAGGCCGAAAGCTGTGTTTAACAGACGATAGATGTTCTTCCGGGGCTCTTGCTGAAAGAAAGAGTGGTTTGTTTTCAGTAACTTTCTCACCGGACTGTCATTCCTTCATTTCTCCTGCCATACCATGTGAGTTTTTCCCTAAGCTGTACTTACCTGAAGACTGTAGGGACCAGGGAGCAGGCCCCAGGTTATTATTCCTCGCCCTGAATACTCATCTCGTAGCAATTCTGTGGCCTTAGCACCTACCCCAGAGAAGCCATCATGTAGGTCACACAGGATCTGGAAGCCCTGCAGAGTGGCGAATGATGAAAGATAGTAGAATGGAAAGAGTGTCTACCCCAGTGTCCGCAATGCCACACGGCTACCTGCAGGTAGTCACATTCCTCCACATAGAAGTGCAGCCTGTCCTCCAGCTCTTCCAGGTACCTGGGTTCCTTCAGGATACTCTCCCCTTGGCCAAAGGCCTCCAGAAGACCTGCCTCACTATCATGCAAAAACACAATCCAGAAATTGCAGTATTCCCTCTCTTCCACAACCCCCTCCCCCAAGATCTTTTCTTTTTGGGGAGGGCAGGGAAGACATCCTCAAGAGCCTCATCCAACATTGGTGGGAACTGAGTTTCTTGCCTCACAGCCCTCCCCCCAACTCCCATACCCGTCATGGTTGTACTTCTGAATCACACAGATGCTCCGGGGATGGAGGTGCACTCTGAGGAAGTCTGACCAGACTCGGATGCTGCTTTCTGTGGGGCTAAGTGGCTTTGGAGTTGTAGCTGTGGTGAGTGGTATGGGACCTGAAGGAAAAGCAGAGGAAATGAACCTTTCTCAATGTTCCTGCTCTGCCCACTTCCCCATCCTGCAGTACCTGGACAAGTCTCACCTTTGCCATTGGGAATGGACTTGACCTTCCGGATACCATCACTACTCAGCGCTCCCTGGGAGGGATGAGAAAAATCTACCTCTAGTTCCAGGCAGACTAAAGGCAAAAGATTAATCCTCATTTTGCTGGCCACACTCTGCAACCTCCTTCCTGTTCATGTAGTCTTTTAAGAATAAAAGTGCTTTTTTTCCAAAATACTATTCTAAGACATGCAGACCATTAAAATCTTCCATTTCTCTGGTTGTAGCACCGGGTTTAAAAGTTCAGGGCAGGCACACCGCACACCTGCTCAAATCTTCTAGTGTACTTTCCTAAACTCCCAGGGCCCTCCTTTTGTCTCTGTAACTTGTTACCTGAACCCATTTCTTTGACTCACTTTTACTACCTCTGTAACTTCCTAAACAAACTTAAAGTTTGGAATAAAAAAGTTCAGGGCAGAGACCCTCACCTCTGCACTCAGAAGATCCTGGAGATAAGGGTTCTTGGGATAGAGTTCCTCCGTGTGTGTGGTGAGCTTCCCCTGCCTGAAATAAATTGGAGACTGGTTATAGACAGTGTCCCTTTGTTTTCCTGTGCACATCTCCCACTCCTCTTCAAACCACCAGTACCATGCTATTGCAGTGTCTTGCTGTTTGTTCCAGTAGAGTCCACTTTCCTGTTTTAGGGAGCTCAAACTACCTGCACAAAAATAACAGGCAAGGTTAGATCAAAACCTAGTTCCTTCGGCCAGTCTTCATCAGATCGCCTGACAATCTGCTGTCACCATCCCTCCAGCATTTGGCGAAAAAAACCCTTGCTAGGAGAATCTAGATTCCATCCTTTCTTTAGCTGTGGGACCTGGGACAGGTCCCTTTAGTGCCTCATCACTGTCTCCAAGGACAAGTAACCCATTCCAGAGACGGCTCTTGGGATAAAGTTTTGCCTTCTTGAGTCCCTCGGGTATTTGCACACTGTCGTTAGCTCTCCTTAGGCAGCATCTCTCTGCCCTTCAGCCTAGTATGGTTGGAGGATCTTGAAGCGAACGGATGCCAGAAACTCCGCACGAGAAAAGGGCTTTGGCTGATCCCAGCCACAGCCTCACCCTTTAGATCCATGAGAATGAGTCTCGGCGTGTACGTCTCCTGGCCGTGCAGGGTTCGGCCGGTCCGGTACAGGACGTCTGGGCACAGCTCGCCTGGCTGCAAGTTGGCATCGGTCGGTTCACGCAGCGCAGCATCCTGGGGAGGTACAAAAGTACTGGACTCAGCGGTGGCAAGATGCGCAAGCCGGAAGTAAAGGCTGAAGATCCCGAAAGGCTCCGTTGGGGCAGCCGCCCAGAGATCTCACCTGCTGGTTCCACCAGTGCGCTCCCACGAAACCCGCAAAATGTCCCAACTGTAACGTGAGCACCTCCCGGGCCCCGCCGGCCATGCTGCTCGGCTCCGCTGGGACGCAAAGCCACCGCCTGCCCTCTCGCTGCTCTCAGCTAATTGGTTCGGCAGGCTTGTAGGCGGGGCCTCACCCTCTGCGCCTCATTGGTCCACAAACATCTTTTCCTAGAGGATAAACGATTCATTGGGTTTTAGAGACGTGGCTCCTCAATCCCGCCTCTTCCTGGCGTGAACCAGTCCTGTATACTCGTGGTTGTCAAGGGGCGGGGCCCACGCCGGAAGTTAACAGCCGTTCGAGCTTAGGCGCCACGCTGGGTTCTTGGTGCTATTTTATTGCACCACACGTCGGAGTCTCTGTCAGTGCTCGCCTTACTTCTGTTTTTGTTGTTGTTGTTGTTGTTTTTGTTTTGGAAGTTTTTTGTTTCTTCCCTTACGGGATACTTCAGCTTCAGGAAAAAATAAAACCTAGCTAGGAAAGTGGATGCTTCCCTGAAGCTTCCCACACGTCCCTTCATTCCGCTCCAAAGGCACAGCATTCCTGATATCTAACCCTGTGAACTGCCTCTGATTATCTATATCTATCTATCTATCTATCTATCTATCTATCTATCTATCTATCTATCTATCTGTCTGTCTGTCTTGTCTATCTATCATCACATTATTTAAATAAATACGAGCACATATTCTTTTGCGTCTGACTTTTGCTCGGTATCGTTTGTGAAGTTGTGTACTTCCATCCGTGTACTTTGAGTTTTCTTTGCTTCACAACAGTCAATTGTATGAAAATACCACAGGTGTTTGTATTACACTGATAACAGACGTTGGGATTCTTTCCAGTTTTTGGCTTTCAGTTGCTAAAATTAACATTCTTGTGCCTTTGGCTGTGCACACATTACCATGGAATGTAATTACTGGGTCATAAGGTTGGATATTTTTTAACCGCGGTAAATAGCGCTAAGCTGTTTTCTTAATTTCTTTACCAATTTGCAATTACACCACCAGTGTAGGGGAACATTCAGTCGATGTTTCATAATCTTGCCAATATTTTAAAATTTTAGTTCTTATCACTTGTTCTAATTTTCCTGATAACCAAAGAGGCTGAGAGCACCTTCTGATATGTTTATCAGCCATTTGGATATCCATTTTCATTAAATGAGCATTAAGTCTCTCGCCCATGTTTCTTTTGGGTTCTCTCTTAGTGATTTGTAGGAGTGGGTACTTGATTCTGAATACAAGCCCTTTGTCCAGTTATAGGCATTGAAAATACCTTCTTTCACCCTGGTTGCCTTTTCATTTCCTTCAAGGGAGTGTTTCGAAGAACAGGTTTTTTTGTTTTTTAGTTTTGTTTTGTTTTGTTTTGTTCTGTTCTGTTTTAGAGGGAGAAAGAAAGGGAGAAACATCAATGTGCGAGAGAAACAACCATCAGTCACCTATCCCACGTGCCCAGCAGGGGACCTAGTCCGCAACCCAGGCATGTGCCCTGAACTGCCCTGATCCCAGTCATGTGCTCCACTCACTTAGCAATAGCAGCCAAGGCTTGAAGAACAGAATTTTGTTGTTGTTTTAAAAAGTCACATTTATTTAATCTTTTCAAATATTACTAATGCATTTTATGTTATGTTCTGGGCTCTTGTTGCTCTATTGGTCTGTTCCAATTTCAGTCTTTAAATACCATGTTTTGTTTTTTAAAGATTTTATTTCTTTTAAAACAAAAAGAGAATAATGGAGGGAGAGAAACATCAATTGGCTACCTCTCATATGCATCCAGACCAAGGACAAACCCACATACCAGGCATACACCCTGACGGACCAGGCTCAAACCAGCAACCTTTGCTTTGCGGGACAACATCCAACCAACTGAGCAACACTGGTCAGGGCTAACTACTACATTTTTTAAGTGTCTTAGATCCCTAAGTTCACAAGGAGACTAAAAAAAGAAGAGGAGGATACGTGTTAAGGAATGACAGAAGAATGACAGCAAATACATGTAGATAGATCAAATTTAAATTTATAGATTGTAGCTATCAACTTAAACATTTATTTAGATGACAAACATCCCCCAATCAGGCAACTGATCGGTGTTTCTCTCTTACCTCTCGCTTCCCCTATCTAGAATCAGTGAGCATGTTCTTGGATAAGGGTAAAAACATAAAAATTTAAAAAAATAACAACTTACTGTGTGATAATTTGTTGGAAAACAGGATGGTTTCAGGATTTCAAAGTAACCATCCAAAGATAACCTGTTAATTACATTAGGGGAAAAATGAAGGATGCCAAAATCAACCAAGTGATCAAACTTACTATTGTTACCAGATGGGGACTGGGCCTGCAGTGGGTCTGCCTCTAGGAGGCCAGTGTTCTGTGAGTCTGACTTCATGCAGGAAAGATTTCACATTTATTATAGCTGGGGACAGTGAAATAAAGGAAGAGCTTAGGATAGAAGAAGCAACAGAAAAGAGTCTAGGAAGGGCTGCTTTGGCTTTTTAGAAACGTTATAGGAAAGAAACGGGGCATGCTGTACTGCATGAATTCACTAAGAAGTAAGTCATAGCGACAGAAGTGAACCAAGGTGCGGATGCTGTTACTGTAGCTCACTGGAGAGTCAGAGAAAAAGGGGCCTGGAAGAAAGGTTCAAGGGTAAGCCCTGGACAAGTTTCTCCCTCCTCCCCTTCCTTTCTCTTTAAAAGCAATCAATCATAAAAAAAAAAAAAAAAAATACAGCCCTATCTGGGTAATCAGTTGGTTAGAGCATAATCCCAATACACCAAGGCTGCAGGTTTAATCCCTGCTCAGGGCATATACAGGAATAAGCTAATGGATGCATAAGTTGAATAACAAATTGATCTTTCTCTCTAGCCTAAACTCTAACCATCACCACAGTCAAGATATTTTGTTTTTTAAATTTTTAAAAAGATTTTATTTATTTTTAGAGAGAGAGGAAGGGAGGGAGAAAGAGAGGGAGAGAAACATCGATGTGTGGTTGCCTCTTACACACCCTTACTAGGTACCTGCCCTGCAACCAAGACATGTGCCCTATATTTATTTTAGATATAACCCTGGCTGATGTGGCTCAGTGGATTGAGCACTGCCCTGTGGACCAATGGGTCACTGGTTCGATTCCCAGTCAGGGCACATGCCTGGGTTGCAGACCAGGTCCCTAGTGGGGGGTGCACAAGAGGCAACCGCACATTGACGTTTCTCTCCCTCTCTTTCTCTCTCCCTTCCCCTCTCTGTAAAAATAAGTAAATAAAATCTTTTAAAAAAAGATATTTTAAATACAAGTCACAATTCCTAAAGGATAGCTATAGTTTACTCCTTCCATTTAGTTCTTATAATCCACTTTGAGTGTCTGATATGAGGTAAGAGTCACAATTCATCTTTTCATATGTACATATTCAATTATCCCAGTAGTTTGTTGGAGATTATTTTTCCCCATTAAAATCTTTGTTGAAGATCAACTGGCCATAAATATAAGGTTTTATTTCAGGACTCTTAACACTGTCTTGATTAATGTAAGTTTATATTATGTTTTAAAAATAGGAAGATAAGTCCTCCAAATTTGCTTTTTAAAAAAATCATATTGATCTTATCGAGGCAGCAGTGGTAGCATTTGCTCTTCGAGTTTTGTTCTGCTGCATAAGGACAAGAAGAAGAAAGGTGCTGGAAGGATGACCAAGAAAGACAAAGACCCAATGAACAAATTGGCGGGGCGGGGGGGGGGGGAGAAAGACCAAAAAGGGGTCCAAAAGCAAAGTTCAGGACAAGCTCATAACCTGGTCTTATTTGACAAAGCAACACATGACAAACTCTATAAAGAATTTCCCAAGTATAAGCTTCTAACCCTAGCTGTTGTCTCTGAGAGACTGAAGATCGGCAGTTCCTTGGCCAGGGCTCCTTAGTAAGGACTTGCTCAGCTAGTTTCAAAGCACAGAGTTCAAGTAATTTACACCGGAAACACCAAAGGTTGGGATACCCAACCGAGCTGCTGAAGATGCATGAACAACAGGTCACACCAGCTGTACATTTTTTTAAAATCTTTAAAAAAATGTTTATTTACATTAGAGAGGAAGGCACATAGAGAGGGAAACATTTATGTGAGAAACATCGATTGGTTGCCTCCCATACATGCCCTGAGCAGGGTTGAGCCCTTCAACCTTTTGGCATATGGGATGACGCTCTAACCAACTGAGCCAAACTGGCCCGGGCCAGCTGTATATTTAAAAAAAAATAAAACTTTATATTAAAAAAAATCATTTTGGTTATTCTGGGTTCTATTTATTTCCATATAAACTTTAGGATCAGTTGTCAATTTTTACAAAAAACTCTGCTGAAATTTTGGTATTGATTGCATTGAATTTATAGATCAACACCCATCAGTAATATTTTATAGTTTTGGGGTACATCTTGCAGTTCTTTTGTTCAAGTTGCTAAATACTTTACTTTCCTATTTTGGATACTTACTTTATTTCATTTTTTAAATTTTTCATTGCTAGTATAAACACAGTTGGTTTTTGTATATCAATTTTGAATTGTTGTGACCTTGCCAAACCTTTTTTGTTCTAGTAGGTATTTTGAGATTTCTGATTATTTTTTAAATATTTTATTTATTTATTTATAGACAGAGGGGGAGGGAGGGAGAAAGGAGGAGAGAAACATCAATGCGTGGTTGCCTCTTGCACACCCCCTACCAGGCATGTGGCCCGCAACTCAGGCATGTACCCTGACTGGGAATCGAACCAATGACTCTTTGGTTCGCAGGGCACTGCTCAATCCACTGAGCCACACCAGCCAGGGTGAGACTTCTTATTATTTTCTATATACAGAATTATGTAATCTGAAAATAAAACAGTTTTTATTTCATACTTTCCAATCTAGATTCAATCTAGCAATGAAGAGAAGCCCCAAGAGACCAGCTGTGCAGGAAGCTTAGCATAGAGATACTAATTAACTGGTGCACTGGAAGGAGCCTAAGTGGAGAAAAAAATAACTGGATAGGGTAGATTATGATAGAGTATTTGGAGACAAATTAAGAATTCATATTCAGCAAACTACAAAAGTACTGAGGGAATTC